CTGACCCTTCAATAAAGAGCTCCTTGGTTCAGGAATGGCTATGGTAGTGGTGGGGTTGGGGTTAAGGATAAACCTGCTTCTTGGTCAGTGGACAAGCAGTGGCTGCTGCACTTCCTGTGGATCAAAGCGCATCAAAGGTAACAACTTCAGGACAAATCTCAGGCAGGAGCAAACATAAGAACAAGTCTCTTTTTCTTTATTCAGAGGGTAACTAAACTGGTTAGGGGGTTTCCACACTTCCTTCCTGAGTTATTTTGCTGATGACACTCTGGAATTCTGATTGAGGTTTGTAACCCCAAGCCTTGAAACTTTCATTATAGATAACCAATATTTCAATATTGCATTTATGTTGGCACTACTAACAAGGAACAAAGGAAAAAATGTTTATGTTGTGATGTTGCACTGGAGTGCTATGTGACCTAAATCCCTGTGGCTAGACCTGGGATAGATTGCTATTCTGATGCAGTTTTCAGTTTTCTGATTTGTTTGAACAAAAACTGCTCTTTTGTTTTAGAGAATCCCCTTCCTATACTGGTGGGCTTTTCGGTTTGGCAACAGCAAAAAACAGTTTTCACACTGGAATTAATGGTTAAGACATAAATAAACTGTTCTGCATAATAATGCCAACAGTTGTCTTCTTTTAATTGGCTCTTCATTAAGTATGTTACGGAAAGATTGGTCCTTGTCCCTGATGCAAACCCAATAATGAGGACATGGTTTTGAGAAAAAGGAAAAAGACAGTTTATTGCTTTGCTAGCAAAGGAGAAACACAGGGGACTCCTGTCCCAAAGGATGTGATTCTGCCCATCAGCTTTTTAAAGAGAGTATTCAGGGGCTTTTTAAAGAGGTGATTCAGAGAAAATGAAATTAAGAAGTAACCATCAGGGCTGGGGTTTTGGATCAGCAGTAGAGCACTCGCCTAGCATGTGTGAGGCACTGGGTTCAATCCTCAGCACCACATATAAATAAAATAAAGGTATTGTGTCCATCTACAACTAAGGAAATATTTTAAAAAAAGAAGTAGAGGGGCTGAAATTGTGGCTCAGTGGCAGAGCGTTTGCCTCTCACATGTAAGGCACTGGGTTCGATCCTCAGCACCACATAAAAATAAATAAACAAAATAAAGATATTGTGTCCATCTATAACTAATAATAATAATAATAATAATAATAATAATAATAATAAAGAATCGTAGAGGTCAGGAAGCAGAAGATTAGGGAAAGAAGATCAGGGAGAATGAAGGCTGGGAAAAAGAAAAAAAGTGTAAGTTTCAAACCCACAAGAGATATAGTCAAAGTATCAAGTGAACCCCTGTTACAAGTATACAGGGAATCCACCCTAAAAGGGGCAAAGATGAAATTGAAGGTACAGGGGAGTCCCTTTGGGAGACAATAGGCAAGGGGTTATAAACACTGTATATGTAATAGCCACTTTCAAGTCTTCTCAGTTTTGTAACTCTTCTATTATTTCAAATGTTCCTCTGTAATATTTTCTTTCTTTCTTTCTTTCTT